GTCACTACGTATTTGAGTAATCATATAATAACTATATTTTACCGAGAAAGGTTATTTTAAAGGAGAAAGCAGAGACGTATCGGTATATTTCTTTCGTGAAATAATGCATTTTTAAATGTAATATCTTTAAAGTGTTTTTTCTGAAAATTTTATAACCTCTTGGTGGGAAGAAATTGAAAATTATTCTATTGGTCGTAGAACAACGAACGTTTTTACTGCTTTTCCGCCACTTCTGAATACATGAAACGTGGAAAGTGTAGTGGAGATGTTAAATTTAAAACTGAAAGTACTCGAGCACTCGGTTTTAAAATTATGAGTTTAATTGTATAAACCGCACCCAAAACTTTAACTTCGTTTCCCTCAAAACAGTGTTTCCACAATCGCTACTAAGAATATTGAAATTTGAAATTTCGTTCAATTATTCAAGTTCAAAGGAAGAATTATCAAATTTCGTTCAATTATTCAGCTTCCTTTGCCACAAGAAATGCAACCAACATTCCAAATTTTTTCTCTGCTGGAACGAAACTGTTTTTACACACTTTAGAACCTTCCACGCCGGCGTCTTCTCTTTTCTCGCTTAAAAATTTCCGGGCTGACCGTCATGTAGGCGCAATAAAATCGTAACTCCTCGGGTCCATTCATCTAAATCCTTTCGTCGGAGGAATTCCACGTCGAGTTTCAAAGACGCGGCTCCACGTGTTGTATCTTCAAATTTTAGCTATGGTTACGTCTCAGCCCTGTTTTATTGCCTTTTTTACCTTTTTTCTCCCGCTTAGTTTTCGACTCCGATTCTCCTCGGTACCAGTTTGCTTCCATTCTGCGGTCAGGACGGAGGCATATTGTGTAACATTTGCTACTCTCCTGCAAGGAATCAAATATTTATATATACTTTTTTCCCGCTACATTTACCATGTACGATCGGTGAAACTTTTACTGTGAAAATTTTGTCGATTAAAAAAGTGGTGATTTCGCAGTGATCAGGCAACTATTTCGAAGAACAAAGTTACAAATATCGTCGTAAACTCTAGAGCAGAAGGTTTGTGTTTAAAGTGTTTCAAGAATTAGACGTTAAATACCAACGAATCTTCCACCGATTAGTGGGAACTGTCTTCTTTCAATTTCAATAGGAATTAAGCACTGGAAAAATTTCAAAAAATGCGGCGATCGGTACAAGAGTATAGACGAAGTAAATTTGACAGTGTTTTAAATGATATTTGTCTAAAAAAAATTGGTTGCAAAATAAGACGATAGGTATGGTATATCTCCATTTCGGAACAGGATGGAATTATCGAATTTCTCAGAGAACGTACCATCTCTCACGCCCCTGGACCAACATGGCCGCTCGTGTATCCATGGTAACACCCTCTGACTTTTCATAAAACCCTCGGGAAACGTTTGCTCTGGGAATAGAAGAGGCGGTACGAAGGGAGGGTGAAAGACTCGTGAAGGGTGTGTTGGAAATAACGTGGCCGAACGATGTAACGCAAAATGCTTCTTAACTCTGCGTCAGCCATTAAAGAGTCAGATCACGTTTTGTTCGTTTATTTGCAATTCGATGAGATGAGTAACGAAGGAACAATTCCTAGATACCGTGGAATAACTTATCGGGTAAAGAATGAGACAAAATTAATATCTGTATGAATGAATGAAAAAAGAAATTTTTTAACTAGGTTAGGTACTACGTTAACTGATATTGGAATGAAGAAATACACGGGGTAATTCTCAGTCATGAATTGCAGAGATCAGGGTTTTGAACGTGTATTAATCTCTTTGCGTCTATGGACGAGATAATACGCGATGCGATGTCGTTCGAAAAGATTGTGTTTATTTTATTTGGGACACGAGATATTTCGTCAAAGTGCCACATGTCTCTTCTTTGGGACGCGAGATATTTCGTCCAAAGCGTCGCGAGATATCTGGTCCAAAACGTCGCGAGATATCTCGACCAAAGCGTCGCATATCTCTTCTTTAGGACGCGAAATATTTCGTCCAAAGCGTCGCGAAGTATCTCGTCCAAAGCGTCGCATATCTCTTCTTTAGGACGCGAAATATTTCGTCCAAAGCGTCGCGAGATATCTAGTCCAAAGCGTCGCGAGATATCTAGTCCAAAGCGTCGCGAGATATCTGGTCCAAAGCGTCGCGAGATATCTGGTCCAAAGCATCGCGAAATATCTCGTTCAAAGCATCGCGAAATATCTCGTCCAAAGCGTCGCATATCTCTTCTTTAGGACGCGAAATATTTTGTCCAAAGCGTCGCGAGATATCTGGACCAAAGCATCGCGAAATATCTCGTCCAAAGTGTCGCATATCTCTTCTTTAGGACGCGAAATATTTTGTCCAAAGCGTCGCGAGATATCTAGTCCAAAGCGTCGCGAGATATCTGATCCAAAGCGTCGCGAGATATCTGGTCCAAAGCGTCGCGAGATATCTGGTCCAAAGCATCGCGAAATATCTCGTCCAAAGCGTCACATGTCTTTTCTTTAAAACGCAAGACATTTCGTCCAAAGCGTCGCGAGATATCTAGTCCAAAGCGTCGCGAGATATCTAGTCCAAAGCGTCGCGAGATATCTGGTCCAAAGCGTCGCGAGATATCTGGTCCAAAGCATCGCGAAATATCTCGTTCAAAGCATCGCGAAATATCTCGTCCAAAGCGTCGCATATCTCTTCTTTAGGACGCGAAATATTTTGTCCAAAGCGTCGCGAGATATCTGGACCAAAGCATCGCGAAATATCTCGTCCAAAGTGTCGCATATCTCTTCTTTAGGACGCGAAATATTTTGTCCAAAGCGTCGCGAGGTATCTAGTCCAAAACGTCGCGAAGTATCTCGTCCAAAACGTCGCATGTCTTTTCTTTAGGACGCGAAATATTTCGTCCAAAGCGTAGAATGCTTTTTCTTTAGGACGCGAGATATCTCGTCCAATGCTTCGCGAGATATCTCTTGCAAAGCGTCGCGAAACATCTCGTCTAATGCTTCGCGAGATATCTCTTCGAAAGCGTCGCGAAACATCTCGTCCAAAACGTCGCGAAATATCTCGTCCAAAGCATCGAATGTCTTCTCCTTAAAACGCGAGATATTTCATCCAAAGCGTCGCATCTCTTTTCTTTAAGACGCGAGATACCTCTTCCAGAGCATCTCACGAACGACCTCACGCCGCGAGATATCTCGAAAGGGTTAAATACACGTGACACAGGGACCTCTGATAAATACGATAAAATTCCGCAAACACAATTTCTCCCTTCGTTACATAGACCATCGGGAAAATAGATGGCCAGAACGACTACCGTTTCCTCCCTCGTGGATACCCGAAGGGATGTCGAAAAAACGGCTTTTCACACAGCCAGGAATTTGCAATAGAAGCAGGTTTTATTAGACGATAAAGGCAAAACAGCGAACGATGCGTTTTTGAAATGGTAAAAGCTGCCGGGTGGCTAGATAAAAATCCACCGAGTGGTACCGTAAAACATACCACAAGCCCCTTCCAACAGTCATCAATAAATTCCGGGCACTCGAGGCGGCCTGTAAACACCGGTCTATCATTGCGATACTAAAATTACAAATCGACAATCAGGATGCTGTATCACGTAACACGCGCATGAACGTGCAACAAACTTGAATTCGTTTACGAACACAGTGATCTCGTCTCTCCTGAACGGAATAAAGTAAATTTATCTTGTTTACCGTGTTCTTTGCAAAACGCTATCGTTTACCGTTTATCTTTATCTACATTATTTCATAGTGTTTACGTAAAGCAACTGTTTGCAGTTGTTGATGGATTTTATATAATTTTTATCGCGTGCAATAGTTATTCCTTTTTTTTTTTTTAAGTAAAACAAGAAGGGAGAAAGAAAGGAAAGGAAAG